CCCTACCTTACACAGAAAGCGGCACAGGTCCTAATCCAGGCACTTGTCATCTCCCGTCTGGATTACTGCAACTCGATGTTGGCTGGGCTCCCTGCCTGTGCCATTAAACCCCTACAACTTATCCAGAACGCCGCAGCCCGTCTGGTGTTCAACCTTCCCAAGTTCTCTCATGTCACCCCGCTCCTCCGCACACGCCACTGGCCTCCAGTTGAGGCTCGCATCTACTACAAGACCATGGTGCTTGCCTACGGAGCTGTGAGGGGAACGGCACCTCCTTACCTTCAGGCTCTGATCAGACCCTACACCCAAAATAGGGCACTACTTTCATCCACCTCTGGCCTGCTAGCTCCCCTACCTCTACGGAAGCACAGTTCCCGCTCAGCCTAGTCAAAGCTATTCGCTGCTCTGGTACCCCAATGGTGGAACAAGTTCCACCACGACGCCAGGACAGCGGAGTCACTGACCACCTTCCGGAGACACTTGAAACCCTACCTCATTAAGGAATACCTGGAATAGTATAAAGTAATCCTTCTACCCACCTCCCCCACCCATAAAAAGAAAAAGAAAAAAAGTGGTTGTCCCACTGGCTATCATAAGTTGAATGCACCAATTTGTAAGTCGCTCTGGATAAGAGCGTCTACTAAATTATGTAAATGTAAAATGTAAATGTATTCTCGGGGTGATGAGAGGTGTTGGGTTGGCCAAAAAGCTCAATTTTAGTCTCATCTGACCAGAGTACCTTCTTCCATTAGTTTGTGGAGTCTCCCACATGCCTTTTGGCGAACACCAAACATGTTTGCTAATTTTTTTCTTTAAGCAATGTATTTTTTCTGGCCACTCTTCCGTAAAGCCCAGCTGAGTTTTGGACGGGTGGCCCTCTCTTGGCAGGTTTGTTGTAGTGCCATATTCTTTCCATTTTTGTTAATGGATTTAATGGTGCTCCGTGTTCAAAGTTTCTGATATTTTTTATAACCCAACCCTGATCTGTACTTCTCCACAACTTTGTCCCTGACCTGTTTGGAGAGCTCCTTGGTCTTCATGGTGCCACTTGCTTGGTGGTGCCCCTTGCTTAGTGGTGTTGCAGACTCTGGGGCTTTTCAGAACAGGTGTATATATACTGAGATCATGTGACAGATCATGTGACACTAAGATTGCACACAGGTGGACTTTATTTAACTAATTATGTGACTTCTAAAGGTAATTGGTTGCACCAGATCTTATATTGGGGCTTCATAGCAAAGGGTGAATACATAAGCACGCATTACTTTTCCGTTATTCATTTTTTTGAATTTTCCTTAACAAGTAATTTTTTTCATTTCACTTCACCAATTTTGATTATTTTGTATATGTCCATTACATGAAATCCAAATAAAAAATCCATTTAAATTACAGGTTGTAATGCAACAAAATAGGAAAAACGCCAAGGGGGTCACACCGCTTATTTTGATGTACCTATGCTTGACTTGCACTGTTGAAGTCGGAAGTATACATACACCTTAGCCAAATATATTTAAACTCAGTTTTTCACCTTTTCTGACATTTAAGCCTAGTAAAAATGTCCTGTCTTAGGTCAGTTAGGATCACCACTTTATTTTAAGAATGTGAAATGTCAGAATAATAGTAGAGAGAATGATTTATTTCAGCTTTTATTTATTTCATCACATTCCCAGTGGGTCAGAAGTTTACATACACTCAATTAGTATTTGGTAGCATTGCCTTTAAATTGTTTAACTTGGGTCAAACGTTTCGGGTAGCCTTCCACAAGCTTCCCACAATAAGTTGGGTGAATTTTGGCCCATTCTTCCTGACAGAGCTGGTGTAACTGAGTCAGGTTTGTAGGCCTCCTTGCTCCCACACGCTTTTTCAGTTCTGCCCACACATTTTCTATAGGATTGAGGTTAGGGCTTTGTGATGGCCACTCCAATACCTTGACTTTGTTGTCCTTAAGCCATTTTGCCACCACTTTGGAAGTATGCTTGGGGTCATTGTCCATTTGGAAGACCCATTTGCGACCAAGCTTTAACTTCCTGACTGATGTCTTGAGATGTTGCTTCAATATATCCACATAATTTTCCTTCCTCATGATGCCATCTATTTTGTGAAGTGCACCAGTCCCTCATGCAGCAAAGCACCCCCACAGCATGATGCTGCCACCGCCATGCTTCACTGTTGGGATGGTGTTCTTCGGCTTGCAAGCCTTCCCCTTTTTCCTCCAAACATAACGATGGTCATTATGGCCAAACAGTTCTATTTTTGTTTCATCAGAACAGAGGACATTTCTCCAAAAAGTACAATCTTTGTCCCCATGTGCAGTTGCAAACTGTAGTCTGGCTTTTTTATGGCGGTTTTGGAGCAGTGGCTTCTTCCTTGCTGAGCGGCCTTTCAGGTTATGTCGATATAGGACTTGTTTTACTGTGGATATAGATACTTTTGTACCTGTTTCCTCCAGCATCTTCACAAGGTCCTTTGCTGTTGTTCTGGGATTGATTTGCACTTTTCGCACCAAAGTACGTTCATCTCTAGGAGACAGAACGCGTCTCCTTCCTGAGCGGTATGATGGCTGCGTGGTCCCATGGTGTTTATACTTGCGTACTATTGTTTGTACCGATGAACGTGGTACCTTCAGGCGTTTGGAAATTGCTCCCAAGGATGAACCAGACTTGTGGAGGTCTACAATTATTTTCTGATGTCTTGGTTGATTTCTTTTAATTTTCCCATGATATCAAGCAAAGAGGCAATGAGTTTGAAGGTAGGCCTTGAAATACATCCACAGGTACACCTCCAATTAGCCTATCAGAAGCTTCTAAAGCCATGACATCATTTTCTGGAATTTTCCAAGCTGTTTAAAGGCACAGTCAATTTAGTGTATTTAAACTTCTGACCCACTGGAATTGTGATACAGTGAATGATAAGTGAAATTATCTGTAAACAATCGTTGGAAAAATTACTTGTGTCATGCACAAAGTAGATGTCTTAACCGACTTGCCAAAACTATAGTTTGTTAACAACAAATTTGTAGAGTGGTTGAAAAACGAGTTTTAATGACTCCAACCTAAGTGTATGTAAACTTCCAACTTCAACTGTAGGTTTCTCACTTATGGGTGGCACAAATTGGGATATGGGGGAGGGGAATGGGCATGGTATATGCAAATTAAATACTGTAGTATTACTATAGTTAAAAAGCTGTTGTGTTTTTGCGGACTGTACTGTGCACAATGAATGGAGCCAAATACAGCGTTTCTGGAGCCAAATATCTTATTAATTCATTTTTGTTTTCATTTTTTATTATTAAATGACCTGGTATAATGTCCCATTGATCAGTTATACATTTAAAAGCCGTTATTTTTGCGTTTTTGCCCAAGTTCGGCCTTTACTAATTTACACAGTAGAAAATAATAACTTTGTATCTGCACAGTCTGCAAAGTAGTCATTGTGCATAGAGTTGTATGATTTGTTAAACCAAAAAAACTCTGTCTAACAGTACTACTTGATATTGCCGTTCTCATAATCAGGCAGAGGAGATAGTATCTAGCAGATTAATGGATGAAGTATGGAACATTGATTATGTGCAACAGACCAATCCCATCTGCAGAGTAAAATCTAGTTGGATGTTTTTGGCTCATTGCGATGTCATTAATCGTGTTAAATTCCCACAAACAGCCTGCCAAACGCACATTGCAGCCGCCACGGGCCATTAGTAGCCACAGACAGGGAGGCATACTACTCCACTCAAACATTCATAACACAATTACAGGGAAGGAGGGAGTGCAGGTTTATAGGCAAGATAGAGATGGATGGATGTAAGGAGAGAGAAATGGAGAGAGAGAGAGATGGGAAGCAGAGTGAGAAAGGGAGAGAGAGAAAGGAAGTAACAGAGAGGGAGGGAGATATGATTAGCTACACTTTTCATGACTGTTACTTGATCATCAATTTGCAGAGAGATGGCTCGCTAATTGCATTCAAACTAGATATCAGATAGCATAATGTGCAGTGTTGTCACTTTTCTGCCTGAGTTAGATCGCTAGCTATGATCTTTTTTGTAAATGTGTGTGGAGTGGGAGTTGTGGTTGGCTGCATGCTCAAAAACGGTCTTCTTCTGAATGTGTAGGTGTACTTAGACAAAGCGTATGTTTGAAGGTTGGTTTGGCTTGTTGCTGCAGAAAAATATTGCTCTGATATTTTTACTGCAATGGAAGAATTGAAAAAGAAAGTAAATGTAGTAGTCTGACTTGTTTCCATACTGATTAGAATGTTTTGGTTTAGAATGCTGTGTGTGTGTGTGTGTTTGAATGCGTGCGTGCATTTGCATGCTTGTGTGTGTGACACTGTGTCTCTTAGTGGCTTTGTATCTTGTAAAGTGGCAGTGACTGTTTTATGACTTTGTCTGAGCTGTGCTCTCTAGTCACCTGCATTTAATGAAAACCAGTTGCTTTCAAATACTCACTCCAATTCAATCTCTTTTAAGCCTTTAATATGAAATAAACAGGGTATTATAGAGGGATAATATTGTCTGATAAGGTTTTTCCTAGAAGGAAAACAGTCTTATTCTATACAGATTTGTTGAACAAACGGTTTCCTGCGAAATCCTGGAGGGACTAATTAACCTAACCTCTGCTACATACTGCAGGGTGAACCGGTTACATAATATATAGTTATCTATCTGAACAATGTGCACTGTGACTAACCCTGACTCCAACCTCTCTTCCCTGTGTGTGTGTGTGTGTGTGTGTGTGTGTGTGTGTATGTGTGTGTGTGTGTGTGTATGTATGTGTGTGTGTGTGTGTGTGTGTGTTTGTGTGTGTGTGTGTGTGTGTGTGTGTGTGTGTGTGTGTGTGTGTGTGTGTGTGTGTGTGTGTGTGTGTGTGTGTGTGTGTGTGTGTGTGTGTGTGTGTGTGTGTGTGTGTGTGTGCGCGTGCGATTGTAAATACTGTGGGTGCATGCGTGTGTCTGTGTGGTGTGTGTGTGTGTGTGTGTGTGTGTGTATGTGTGTGTGTGTCAGGCGGAATGATGAGGTCACCCATATTAAGATCCAGAACTCGGGGGACTACTACGACCTGTATGGAGGGGAGAAGTTTGCCACGCTGGCAGAGCTGGTGCAGTACTACACAGAGCAGCATGACCTCCTCAGAGAGAGGAATGGAGACGTCATCGAGCTCAAGTACCCACTCAACTGCAAAGACCCCACCTCCGAGAGGTACGCACACACATACACATGCCTGCACACACACATAAATGAACATCCACAGACAGCATTTACAATCAAATACATGCACGCACGACCACACACACACACACTCATCTCTGGCTCTCTGCACATTGTGACGTACAGTGTATCAGTTTGTATCTAGTTCTAAGAAAAATGTGTGATCTCTGTCAAGCATGGTTTCTGTGGCTTCTCCATGAAACACCTGCTGAGACCTCTTGTTGGAAGCTCCTACACATTCACAAATGCAAGCTCTCATACAGACACAGACATACAGAGGCACACACTATTCAGATTTCTTTGTAACGCCATCACGTGTGCAAACTCAGAAACAAACACACTTTTCGATTTCTTAAGTAAACAATTCAATGTAAACGGCGGAGTCGGGGTGAATTCCATTTCAGCTCCTCATTACTTTTCAATGGTATTAGTATTTTCAAACATAATAGTCATGTCATCAGTTGTGTCTGACTCTACATCTACCGATCTACACTAGGTGGTACCACGGGCACCTCTCTGGCCGCGATGCTGAGAAGCTGCTTACGGACAAGGGCAAGCCTGGCAGTTTCCTGGTGCGTGAGAGCCAGAGCAAACCGGGCGACTTCGTGCTCTCTGTCCTCACCAACGAGGAGAAGCATGAGAACGTGGACCGCAAGACCAAGGTTACCCACGTCATGATCCGATACCAGGTAAGACCAGCTAGGGCATACACTGAGCCAGACCTATGCATATAGTTTGGCAAGCAATGTTTGAGATGTAGACTTTTAATGGGTGCCATGTTGGCACCAAATGTTCCAAAGACAATAATAGTATAATTAAAATGCCCTTTTGTAATGTTCTAGGTGGGTCATAACATGGTTATTAGCACTGTTTGATGCCAACATTTCAGACTGTTCTCTGAACTAGTTGTGGTATATTAAAATATGATTGGTGTCATCGTTGCCAGCTTACCTGACAGGTACTCACTACCATGCACCTACTGTGAGCCGGATGGCACTGCAATCGCTACGCATTCGTCCTCCTTCAAGGCACTCCACACCTAACTGGAGTGGGACTTCATCGGGTTCTCAAGTGGACACCCCCCTTAACCGGTGTTTTGTTGATAAGCCCACGCCTCGGCGGCAGAACCAGCATTCTGGAACTACCCCCTCGATCCCTCCACTCAACTCAGCCCTGCCTCCCTACTGCCTGCTTGGCTCTGCCACTATTCATTCCTCTTCAGCCAGATCTAACAGGATGCCTCTTCTGCCTGCTTGCTGACATCAGCCACCAGCTTCTTCCTTGCCATTCCTTCAATGCTGAGCAGCCCCAGGGCTCTCCAGTGATTGGGCTGCGAAGCCCCTGCAGCCAACCTCAACTGGTAGATTCCAGGCTCTCCATCCATTTAGCTGACTCTCAAGGATGAGGGACTGGTATTTATTGAGCTTCTGCTCTTTCCTCCCAGGCACTGTAAGCTCGACGAGGACCACCTGGTTGGTGCTTCTAGATCAGAGGACTATATCTGGTCTTAGACTTGTGCTGGCTAGCTTCTTGAGGTCTGCCTACATCTCCCATTCACCTGCTGTGGCAAGTATCCCTTTGTTCCTTGTTCCCTTTGCTGCACTCTCTCCTGACCTGAAGAAGTGGATGAAATGGGGCCCCCAGGTGAGTTGTTGTTTTGGCTTTCTCCTTGCTTGCGTCAGTCCCGCGGCCAGCTGAGTCAGTATTTGGTCATGTCGCCACCTGAATTTTCCATCAGTCAGACCTGCTTTGCAGGAGGAGATCACATACTTCAGGTTGTCTGGTCTTCTGCATAGTGTGCAGCTGGGGCTCTCTGCCAACCACCACGTGTTGAGATTTGTTGGTGTGGACAAAACATTGTACACTGAGCAAAGCAGAAACTTGATCCGCTGCTCTTCCATGTTCCAGATGTCTTGCCAGGTGAGTGCCCTCTCTCGCATGCTCTCGCAGCGTGTCCTGCTGGCGTGTTTTTTCATGGATACTGCTCTGACATGCCGGCTTTCTTCCTCAGTCTTTGGGGCCTCCCTCTAATCCATGCCACAGTGTTCTTTTGGGTCTGCTTTCTTCCAGCTTGACCTGGTTGTGCATCCAAGACTGCCTTGGTTTATCAACCCATCAATTGTCAGCATGTTGCAACCGTTCCTCTGCATCCCTCAGCGCTCTGCTGGCTGACCACTTGCGACCCATTCTGACCTCTCTCTGCCTGGCGAAACATCTCATCCTTGCTGTCCCGTAGCATCATGGCTTGACATGCTTTTGTTGCCTTGAACTCCTCTACCACAGATGTTATTGGCAGCTGCAGCTTGCTGCCTGTGCTGTACAGGCCGATGGAGCAGAAGCTTATTGGGACCGCTAGCCATCTCCTGAGGAAGTTGTTAAGTTTCCTCTCTAGTGCCTCCACTTTTGAAAGAGGTACCACATAGACAAGCAGTGGCCAGAGGAGTCTGGGAAGTACCCCGTGTTGGTAGCCGCATGCCTTAAACTTGCCTGGTAGGCCGCTCTTATGTCATCCACATGTTGGCCTGCAAGAGCATCTCCTTTACATTCTCTTTGTCATTGAGCTCTTCCTTGTACCACTTCCCCAGGCTCTTCACAGGCTGGTCTCCTCTCTGGTCTTGAATTGGTACCGTTCCTGGACACGTCTCTTTTCAAGGACTAGACTTCTTGATTTTGAACTCCATTCATTGGGGAGCTCTTTCAGATCCTCTAAAATCCAAATGCCTTCCGGGACTGACTTAGCTGTAATCTTCAGATCGTCCATGAATGCCGCTTGCCAGTATTGCATCCCGTCTTAGCTTCTCTGCTGATTGCACAAGGAGGTTCATTGCAGCAGAAAAAACACTGACTGCACCAGGTCACAATGCCCACCTCCAGCCTCTGCCATGTGGTGGTAAAGTCTCTGCTTGAGGAGTGAGATAGTTCGGAATTGCTTGATCGAACATCTCCCATTCCTTATTTGCTGACGCAGCAGGCCATTTCACAGGCTCCTTCCTGGTCTCTCCTGTGTTGGTGTTCTATACAGGTTGTCTCTCCTGTTGGTCATCTGTCTCCTCTGATGCATCAGTGATGTTTCGGTCGCCACCCCTTTTGTCATGCGTATGGAGAGTCTGGGGACTGGGGTTTGGCTCCTGTCCCGGGCCTCTCCTCCGTCTCACCAGATTGCCCTTTGTGTTGCACATCACTATTGGGTAGTGTACACTTCACTTGATGTATCTTCAGACTCCTCTCGCTTTTGCAGATCTTCCCACATCTGCAGACCCTAGATAAATCGCTTAGCTGTTCCATCATCGGTTGTGCGTCATGGTTGGTCAGAACTGTGGTCTGTCCTGTAGTTCGATCATCCTACCCCACTCTCGCCCAACCTTGGGGGTATCTTATTATATATCTTTCCATAGCTTCAGCCTGCCAAGCCTCCACACCCTGTCTCTGGTCTTTTCCAGATGTCAGCAGCGTTTCCTAGCTGTCACCATACTTCCATGGTTGCCAACTAGTCTTTCCTAGTCGTCACTGGGTCTCCAGAAGGGAATATCAAAAAATAAGATGAGTGTCATCGCTGCTGGCTCACCTGACAGGTACTCGCTACCCTGCGCCTTCTGTGAGCCAGATGGCACTGCAATCGTTATTCCTATAATATACCATCTCTGCATAACACACCTTTATAAACAATTTGTAGAGCACATACTTCATTGTTTAGACTACTAGAATAAGAGCTAGAGCAGCCTTTCTCAGCCTCAGTCATGGGCCCAACAGTTATTCCATATATCCTAACACCAGCACACCTGATTCAAATTAACTAGCTTCAGGTGTGATTGGTATTGAAAACGGGCCTAGCTAGCAGTAGGTTAACTCTTACAGGCTAGCTTTTGTTATAGAAAGGCCTTTGGCTTAGGGTCTAGCAGGTTACCTGGCAGGGCTAGAAGACCAGTAGGGCAGCTAGAAGTATAGGGACTAGCATGCTTGTAGCCCCTAGCCTGCCAGCTAGATTGCTAGGCCTATCAGGCTAGCTAGCAGGGCTAGCAGGCTAGTAGGGATAGCAGGCTTGTAAGGCTAGCAGGCTAGTTGGCAGGATAGTAGGGGCTAGCAGGCTAGCAGGCTAGTAGGGATAGGAAACAGCGCTAACAGTAGGCAAGATAAACGCATTTTCACAATTTCACCAATATCATCAAAATCAATAAATCATAGCAGGTTTTTGGGCTCATTCAGTAGTGTTTAACTGATTAAGCAGAATCCCATTTAAAAATAATGTTAAAAGTATAATTTATACTCCTAAAATATAAATTGAAAATGATACTGTTGCTGCTTCCTGTTGTCATGGATTTTTTATTTAAAGCTAGTTTCAAAACACAGGTTTTAAATGTCCAAATTCATAATCAATATGCTGAAATATGTAGTGATATTTTGAACACCAAAACATTAACACTTGTCTTCAGATTACTTGTATTTTGCTTAATTAGTACCTTATAAACTGCACACCACCAATATTTACCAAGCGGCCTCTCTAAACTAGAATTGATTAGCTTGTTCTACTGTAACCAATGGCGCGCACAAATTAATCATTCAAATCAATATTGTATTGAAATCAATGAAACTGGGAAAATATCTGTGGCGACATGTCCTCTTCTAAGAGACAAACCTCAAAGAACTTGGGTATACTACATACAACAGTCGGTAGATGAGAACCTGTAGTAGCCATTTATCAACTTATATCTCTGTGAGAAAATGTTTTCGGTAGATGGCTAATACGAAAAAGTAACTGGATAATGGATAATTTCAACAAATCACCACCTCACATCGGTTTCTAAATAGCGACAGAGGTAGGCTTTCATTTGAGTGATAGCTAACCCTAAAACCTGTGAATTCATGTCAGGTCAGAGACATTTATAGGAGGAGTGCCCACATTTTTTTATTGCCCCCGTGATCTGAAAATGACAGCAGCTGCGTTTTCAGTTCCACTACGGACTGGTGCATTATGACAAAAACACAGATACTAAACCAAAGATATTGATCTGTTTTAAGCAATCGATTTTGTGAGATCGTTATGACTATAAACGTTTATACTAACATCACCAATCTGAGGTAAACAGGATATGTATTTCTTGTAATTATTTTGTGGTGAAAACGTTAGTCTGTGTAATGTAGTAAGATGTTAAGTCCACCATAGGGAAATGCGTAATATAAAATAATTAAATTTGTCTAAATAATTCTATATTTCGATTTAAGATTATAGTTAATAAAGCACACTCATAGATTTCTCAACAATTACAGCTACAGTTGAGGTCGGAAGTTTACATACACCTTAGCCAAATACATTTTAACTCAGTTTTTAACAATTCCTGACATTTAATCCTAGTAAAAATTCCCTGTCTTAGGTCAGTTAGAATCACCACTTTAGTTTAAGAATGTGAAATGTCCGAATAATAGTAGAGAGAGTGATTTATTTCAGCTTTTATTTATTTCATCACATTCCCAGTGGGTCAGAAGTTTACATACACTCAATTAGTATTTGTTAGCATTGCCTTCAAATAGTTTAACTTGGGTCAAACATTTCGGGTAGCCTTCCACAAGCTTCCCACAATAAGTTGGGTGAATTTTGGCCTATTCCTCCTGACAGAGCTGGTGTAACTGAGTCAGGTTTGTAGGCCTCCTTGCTCGCACATGCTTTTTCAGTTCTGCCCACAAATGTTCTATAGGATTGAGGTCAGGGCTTTGTGATGGCCACTCCAATACCTTGACTTTGTTGTCCTTAAGCCATTTTGCCACAACTTTGGAAGTATGCTTGGGGTCATTGTCCATTTGGAAGACCCATTTGCGACCAAGCTTTAACTTCCTGACTGATGTCTTGAGATGTTGCTTCAATATATCCAAATAATTTTCCTTCGTCATGATTCCATCTATTTTGTGCACCAGTCCCTCCTGCAGCAAAGCACCCCCTGATGCTGCATGATGCTGCCACCCCCGTGCTTCACGGTTGGGATGGTGTTGTTCTGGGATTGATTTGCACTTTTTGCACCAAAGTATGTTCATCTCTAGGAGACAGAATGCGTCTCCTTCCTGAGCGGTATGATGGCTGCGTGGTCCCCGTGGTCCCATGGTGTTTATACTTGCGTACTATTGTTTGTACAGATGAACGTGGTACCTTCAGGCATTTGGAAATTGCTCCCAAGGATGAACCATACTTGTGGAGGTCTACCATTTTTTTCTGAGGTCTTGGCTGATTTCTTTTGATTTTCCCATGATGTCAAGCAAAGCGGCACTGAGTTTGAAGGTAGACCTTGAAATACATCCACAGGTACACCTCCAATTGACTAGTATGTTAGCAAGAAATGTGTGGAGTGGTTGAAAAAATTAGTTTTAATGACTCCAACCTAAGTGTATGTAAACTTCCGACTTCAACTGTATTTCTTACTACTTTAACTATGGAGAGAGTTTTAAAATGCTTCTGAACGCAATTTAGCCGGGCACTCCATTGTCTTACGTCAGATAGCACGGCGATTCCGCCTGCACTGATTGAGGGACGAGTGTCACGAAGGAGTGATGCCATCTGACATAAGGCAATTCCGGGCACTCTAGACTACAGCCTCCATATTGACTGTGCAGCAGGCTGAATGTTCTCCATCCCTACTAACAGAGTTTCTGTGTGGCTCCAGCAGGATGGGAAGTATGACGTGGGTGGAGGAGAGAGGTTTGACACGCTAGCTGACCTGGTGGATCACTACAAGAAGAACCCCATGGTGGAGAAGAGTGGAATCGTTGTTCACCTCAAACAGGTGAGAGACTGGACCAGTGCATTCAAACAGCCGTACATAAAACAATGATGTCCTTGCAAAATAAATGGAAGCCATGTTGTTTCCAGAACATCTACTCTGAAAACTGGATCTGTTAAATATGGAATTATGTGTAATTCCAAGTATGGGTAAGCTGCAAATTCTATAACATATAATTTAATGTGAATGGTGGATCATATGATAATCCATTGAATTAATATATTAATGTATTTCTCTTCTCTTTTTCCAATGAAAGCCCTTCAATGCCACCAGAATAAATGCTGCCAACATTGAGAACAGGGTAAAGGAGCTCAACAAAGTGGCGGACAACTCAGAGAAGCCCAAACAAGGGTTCTGGGAAGAGTTTGAGGTACCACCACCAGTGTGTTTAAATGATTCTAGATCACATATATCATCTCATATTCCAAAACATGAAAGTCAATACGAAGAGAATGAAAATCCGGTATGTTCATGAGGCATTTTCTGACGGACAACCCAAGGAACATTATTGTTAACTCTAAGACAGACACAGCTGGTTCCTGTCAAAGTCTGGTTATGGGTCCAGGTCAAAGGTAGTACACTAGGGAATAGGGTGCCATTTAGGATATAACCAGCATCTAAGGGATTTGTGTCATTGTGATTTGTCTCATTGTGACCTCTTGTGGTGAGAGATTTTACTTTCAGCCTCCTGTAGGGTGCAGTGGAAGGGTACACACTGCTCATGGGCCGATGTGTTCAACCAAGACCAAATGTTTTCTAGCAGAGTTTACATAATAAGCTCTGTGATTAGATTTTCATCTTCTCCACAGTGATCCCTACTGTATGTGGGGTCAAACACACAAAAAGCCGTCCTAAAACAAACTGAACTAGCTTATGATTTAATCATATTTACCTTTCATGTCAGACCGATGTTCTTAGTGTAATAGTTAAAGCACAAGTTGGGTTGTCTGTTGGTCACGTTGGGCTCTTCACAAGGGGGAGTCAAAAATGGCACCCTAGGGCTCTGGTCAAAAGTTGTGCACTAGATAGAAGGAATGCGGTTTCAGATGCTGCCTCTGTATGATTTAATTGTATCTCTTCTTTCTCTCACCTTTCGTTTTTTTCTAATCTCCTTCTGTTCTTCTCTTCTTTCTCCTGTCTTCTTTCAGGTGCTACAGCAGCAGGAGTGTAAGCTCCTCTACCCCAGGAAAGAAGGACAGACAGCGGAAAACAAGAGTAAAAACAGATACAAGAACATCCTCCCTTGTAAGTGAAATATCGACCTGTGTGTGTGTGTGTGTGTGTGTGTGTGTGTGTGTGTGTGTGTGTGTGTGTGTGTGTGTGTGTGTGTGTGTGTGTGTGTGTGTGTGTGTGTGTGTGTGTGTGTGACTAAAGACCCTAGTCCTTGTGTATCTGTGTTCCAGTCGACACCACGCGGGTGGAGATCAGGGAAGCAGACACCGATGTGCCTGGCTCAGACTACATCAATGCCAACTACATCAGAGTGAGTTCTGGAGATGAATAATAGTATCAAGAATTTAGTGATGCACTTTATAGATGGGTTATCTGACAAGGTCACAAAAACGATGTGCACTCTTCAATGGTGCAGAAGTCCATGTGTTGTGATTCTGGATGGTCAGATAGCTAGCAACAATGACAAGAAGCTGCCATGTAGGGAATTGTAGGTGGCTCGTTTCAGCTAGTTTTATCTTGTTCTTGATGCCATGCCTTGAGGTGTTTTGATTGATGTCACGTCTATGCTAATATGGCTAATATTCGCTAGCTAGCTAACCAACAACTGTAATGATGTATTTGAGAGACAACAAGTGCTCATTGTGCACATTTATTTATGTTTTCAATAAACATTCTAAACTACATATATAGTTTACATGTTGTCAACAATGTAAGCAAACCCCGTCTGTTTTGCACCATAGTTGCGCATGTGTCGGTTTTGTTGCTTAACAACTAACCCGTCTATTGCTGAGTGGAATAATCTACATGGCATTTAGGGGTGAATCCTAACTTCCACTTCATCAATGCATGATTAAGTGAAAATGTGGCTTTAAATATTAAAGCACCATAATAAACAACTGTTAGTGATGCAGAGTGAGATGCCTATCTAGTTCATCAATGGCCATATTCTGATGTGAAACACGGTAGCGTAACTTGAAACCGATCTGAGCATTGGAAACTCTGGAAGTTTCTCACAATGTCTCTAGTAACGTATCCATACATGTTGTCACAGACAGGCCTCAAAGTTTTGGCAGAGTCCCATACTGTAGCCTATGCGCTGTCGTAGCCATCTCTTCTATGTTTGGCATGATAATGAACTAACACAGTGAGGAGTTGGCTAAAGCACCAACAGACTGAACCACCACCAGGCTATCAATGTTCATATGTTCCTCACCAATGAAGACATGAAATGAATGAATTAAGTATTTTTCTCTCCCCCAGAGTATGCACGAAGAGGGCTGTCACGTGGAGGAGGGCAAGGTGTTCATCGCCACCCAGGGCTGCCTTCAGAACACTGTGGTGGACTTCTGGAAGATGGTCTACCAGGAGAACACGCACGTCATTGTCATGACCACCAAGGAGATGGAGAGAAGACGGGTGAGAGCATAGAAATATAATTATGGTCGGGCAATATCGGTCTCGTCTATGGAACCACATACATTCGCCCGTGGTGTGGATCCCAGTTTGCTCTTTTCAACAAAAAATAAGTAATATGTTCAGAGAAAGAAATATAATTATTAGATCAGGCATTCCTACTCAAGTCAATATAATGTAATACTACACTGAACAAAAATGCAACATGCAACAATTTCTAAGATTTTACTGAGTTACAGTTCATATAAGGAAATCAGTCAATTGAAATAGATTCATTAGGCCCTAATCTATGGATTTCACATGACTGATAATACAGATATGCATCTGTTGGTCACAGATACCTTTAAAAAATAAGTTAGGGGTGTGGTTCAGAAAACCTGTCAGTATCTGGTGTGAACACCATTTGCCTCATGCAGAGCGACACATCTCCTTCGCATAGAGTTGATCAGGCTGTTGATTGTGGCCTGTGGAATGTTGTCCCGCTCTTCTTCAATGGCTGTGTGAAGTTGCTGGATATTGGCGGGAACTGGAACACGCTGTCGTATACATCGATCCAGAGCATCCCAAACATGCTCAATGGATGACATGTCTGGTGAGTATGCAGGCCATGGAAGAACTGGGACATTTTCAGCTTCCAGGAAGTGTGTACAGATCCTTGCGACATGGGGGCGTGCATTATCATGCTGAAACATGAGGTGATGGCGGTGGATGAATGGCACGACAATGGGCCTCCAGATCTCGTCATGGTATCCCTGTGCATTCAAATTGCCATCGATAAAATGCAATTGTGTTCGTTGTCCGTAGTTTATGCCTGCCCATACCATAACCCCACCACCACCATGGGGCACTCTGTTCACAACGTTGACCTCAGCAAACCGCTCGCCCACACGATGCCATACACGCTGTCTGAAGAGCACACTTCTCCAGCATGCAAGTGGCCATCGAAGGTGAGCATTTGCCCACTGAAGTCGGTTACGACGCCGAACTGCAGTCAGGTCAAGACCCTGATGAGGACGATAAATTATTCGGTTGTGCAAACCACAGTTTCATCAGCTTTCCTGGTGGCTGGTCTCAGATGATCCCGCAGCTGAAGAAGCCGGATGTGGAGGCCCTGGGCTGGTGTGGTTACACGTGGTCTGCGGTTGTGAGGCCGGCTTGACGTACTGCCAAATTCTCTAAAATGACATGGGAGGCGGTTTATGGTAGAGAAATGAACATTAATTTATCTGGCAACAGCTCTGGTGGAGATTCCTGCAGTCAGCATGCCAATTGCACGCTCCCTCAACTTGAGATATCTGTGGCTTTGTGTTGTGTCACAAAACTGCACATTTTAGAGCCTTTTATTTTCCCCAGCACAAGGTGCACCTGTGTAATGTTCATGCTGTTTTAATCAGCTTCTTGATATACCACACCTGTCAGGTGGATGGATTATCTTGGCAAAGGAGAAATGCTCACTAACAGGGATATAAACACATTTGTGCACAAAAAGTTGGGGGGGGGGGTATCCTGGGTATCCTGGGTTGGGATTACCAGGATATTATGACAGCTAAGATGATTGTAAAGCTGCTTGAGAAGAAAGGTTGGGCCTTCTAGATTGTCTAATGCTCCACTTTGTCCTCGTCAGAACAAATGTGTGCGCTACTGGCCTGACCTCAATGTCACTAAGGAGTTTGGGAAAGTGAGTGTGAAGAACGTGGAGGAGCGTCCGGCTCAGGACTACATCCTGAGGGAACTGGAGGTGACGCGTTTGGACAGGGTAAGACAGCCCATCGTGGTGACCACATAAATTGGTCTGTTTTAGTATGGCACATTATCTTTCACAATAATCCCACTTCTGATGGGGGCTTGATTTAAGTATAACTTTCTGGTTGTATGAAATTGAATTCATAATGAACAGGTAACACATATACCATTTCTGATTGACCACTGTACAAATTGGAGTTATGCATTATTTTGCAGCCCACTTTACCTGATATTTATTTAGTCATTGTAAGGTAATATGGTGAATTTTTTTAACAAAACAAAAACATAGCTAAATAATAATTTTTTAATTAATTGAAGTTAGAAACATAAAGTACCTGTTTTTATCACAGAGTGTCATACTAAGACTTAGCAAATACCAGGTCAGACACCTGCTGAAATAGGCCTGTAAACTGTAGCGCTAACTCTCCCCATCTGCAGAGGGAGCCGATGAGGTATATCTGGCACTACCAGTACCTGAGCTGGCCTGACCACGGTGTGCCCAACGAGCCCGGGGGCGTGCTCAGCTTCCTGGAGCAGGTCAACCGCAAGCAGAGCGCCATTCGAGACACCGGGCCCATTGTGGTCCACTGCAGGTAAAACACAGGGTGCACACATTATGACAGACAGCATGTATCAGACACAACACCTCTCCAAGCCTTACTGACATAACGGCAGTCATAAAACGTCTAAATGCATGCACCATGGTGGCCAGGGCTGTTTCTTATTTGTTATGTTTGGCAGAACATAAAGATATAATTATTGGTCTAGTAGTCTAGGACAGTCTACAAGAGTCCAGGGGCATCAGTTTGGTATGGTAGGGCAGACACCATACCTTAACTCAAGACCAAAAATTTACAAATATGCTACAAAAAAGTAGACTAAAATCATTCCAATCCCGATTAAAATGCAACGGCTGTTTTAGCATATTGTTTGGATGGCTGGCTTTAGATTGGCTGGCTATGCAGAGCATCGCTCAGAGAAAGTGCCAGACAGTTCGTTTTGCCGGTCAGCTTTGAATTTGATGTCGGTCTTGTAAGTCTGAATGCTGATTTATTTATTAGGTTACTTTCACATTGATGTCGGCATAGGCGGCACATGCAATAGGCTAGGGGAAAATAAGCTTCCCTTAAAGTAAATTGAATTACATTTACAAAAAAATTTGCTATATAATGACTCGTGCCTATACAGAAATAAATACAATAGTTCAAAATACTACACCAGAGAGCGTGATTTGGCCACAGAGGATCATTCGCTTCTTTTAAAAATGAGCTGTGGATTGTTTTAAGCACAAAATTGGGCAGCGCTCATGGCGAATAGCCTACCAAATAGCCTCGTTGAGTTGCAGCAGTCACTGAAAAGCAGTTATATAGGCTTAGGCCTAGAGAACGGGAAGCATAGAAATAGCGCACATAGAACATATCTACCTTTTCTTAGACTTGCTTTCAATGAGAATGACAGATCTATAACTAACATTTTTATGTGAATTTGGTTGGGTCGCAGCTTTAACCCTCCTGTTGTCCTAGGGTCAAAATGACCCGCCACTGTGTTGAACCAACTTTATTTAATTTTTATATTTTTGGGATCATTTGTGAGAAGGAGGCAGTGAGACTTTAAAGAAAGTATCACTGCCTCCTTCTCACAAATGATCCAAAAAATATAAAAATTAAATAAAGTTGGTTCAACACAGTGGCGGGTCATTTTGACCCTAGGACAACGGGAGGGTTAAGCATGGCACCTGTACTGCCATTACTGTACCTCAATTTCACCTCGCAAAGTTTGCATTTCCCTCTCATTTAACATCTGAAATTATTGCCATACAGGACTTTGCTGCCGTCACTTGCCTTTCTCTGCCATTTTTTCAACTGTTAACGACGATGACGTAGTTGTGGAGAGTCGACTCCAAAATAATTGATTCTTCGAGTCGGTGACCATTTCTGAGTGTCAAGATTAAGTTCCACTAGGAATCGACTCCTAAGATTCCGTATTTTTGGAACGGAGGAGACTGATTAGTTGCCGTACTTCAGAGAACATAAACTCTAGCATCTTTCATAGCGAGCAAGTGAGGGATGGAGAGAGAGGGGCACAGTATAGGCAGGTCGGCCACCAGCAGACACCAGGCAGACAGAGTCAGAACCATGCACTGGGCATATATATCGGCAATCAAAAAAACCTGTATCTCGCAATTTCTTGGCTTGCAATGTCTCGCAACTTCTGTAAAGCAGGGCCTATCATCAATGAATAGGCTAGGATATTGAGATGAGCGAGATGCAACACTTTACTCTCACACAGTCACACACAGTATCTGTGCATGTGTACAGGTTCATGGTAGCCAGGGCACCAAAACAGTGGAGAAGTTGAACCTCTCGCTTCAACACTCTTAGTTGTTGTGGAAATTGACCCACCCACTATGCTGTTTACTTTCTGCATCTATTTCATATCGTTCTACCTTAAAATTAAACAACTTTCCCCAGGCCTTCATAGCTTATCGTCTAGTTAGGCTATAACACAGAAAATAATATGTTTTGTGATAACTGCAATGTGATTTTAATTTTGTGGGGAAAACAACACAAAAACATTGTTTTTCGGTTAGGGATTTTTCTTAACGTTAAGGATCCCAATTTTGTTTTAACGTTTAAATTATGTATTTATTTTCACAAGCATAAAGATGAACTGTCTTTCATATAGATTTGTATATTTACAAGTGTAACTTAGTATTAGTGCAGGAGTACTCAGGAGCACATGCCCAAAATTCAACTTGTAACTATGTCTGTTATGAAAATGCCACCATATAGTAGTAATATAGTGCTATTGACTCCTTTGTCTCCCCAGTGCAGGAATCGGGAGAACAGGCACCATCATTGTCATTGACATTCTCATTGACACCATCAACAGACAAGGTAAGAGAATGTTGAACTGTTAAACATTATGGTTCTGACATCAGTCCTATCCAAACGTTACTGCTATTAAAATCAGTCCAATCCAAACATTACGGCTCTGACATCAGTCCTATCCAAACGTTTCAGCTCTGATATCAGTAATATCCTAATGTTATAACTTTGATATCAGTCCTAGCCAAACATTACGGCTCTGAGATCCAGTCTTGGGATGGATCTGCATGTAGTAGGGATTAGGGACAAATCTGTGTAACCGTGCTAAATGTGCTGCCTTTTGACCTTTGTGCGTGGGTGTGTTTCAGGATTAGACTGTGACATCGACATCCCTAAGACCATCCAGAGGGTTCGTCAGCAGCGGTCAGGCATGGTGCAGACGGAGGCCCAGTATAAGTTCATCTACATGGCTGTCCAGCAGTACATTGACACGGCACAGAAGAGACTGGAGGAGGAGCAGGTACCTACCAAACACTCAGTAGTAGGAGTAGTGGAAGTAGTTATGCTGTAATGTTGCCACTACAGTTATTGGTAGTAGTAGTATTCTAATCGTAATAGTGGCAATTTTACTCACAGTTATATTAGCACTGGTACAGTAGTAGTTTAATTGTAAAGGTACTAGTAACTACCATACGCACTAACAGTAGTATTGCAGTACATATTTACTAAAGTGACTGCCTTACAGTTGGAACCCGAGATACAGGTATTACATTTCAAGGTGTCAACCAGCTAAGCAAGTTGGCCAGGTTAATGTTATGTTATCTTGTCTCAATGTTTAAACGATTATCTTATTTTTCAAGCTAAAATAACATGGTTTCTTGTGGCTACTTTCATTGCAGAGGAATAAGACAAAGGAGAGGGAGTACTCCAATATCAAATACCCCCAGATGACTAGCGCCCAGTCAAAACTGAACATGACCTGTGTGTCACGCTCCTCCTCTGTGTGAGTAGCCCTGCAAATACACACTGTTCATATAGTAAACAGACAAATGCTGTTTTATTCTCTCTAAATACACACTACCACTGTCATATCATTCCATCCAAATCCAATGAACATTGTCCGAATGAACATGAATCGGAATTTCAGCTCACCATGTTTTGTCTGTCTGTGTGTGTCTGTTGCTGTCTGTGTGTGTCTGTGCGTGCATGTGTCCGTTTTTGTGTGATGCAGGGTGACCAATGACGACCCATCTGCCGTGTATGAGAACCTGAACATCAAGAACCCAAGTACCTCTGGGAGCAGCAGTAACACCAGGAAGTAAAGTTCACCCACGGACCTCTGCCTCTCTCAACCTCTCTGTGAGTATTCAATTACTGTGGCTTGTTTAGTTATAAATTATATAAGACATTATAAAGGCTCATACCTGCTTATAACAAGTTACAAAGCATCATACCGGCATACCTAAGTAAATTATTATTGTTATTTTCTTTGCTAAATAATTTATAACTTTTTATTGTGGAACTGCTCCATATAATTGCTCTATTTGATTTACAGGGTTAGGGAATAACAGATTACATGTAACTGATTGCAAAATACTGTAATCCATTACGTTACCAGCAAAGAGATTGTAATCAGATTACAGATACTTTTGAAGAACTAGATTACTTCTAGGATTACTTTTAAATTCAGAAAGGATGTTTGCAAAAAAATGTTATTATTATTTATTTTTTTAGTCATTTAGCATATGCTCTTATCCAGAGCGACTCACAGTTAGTGAGTGCATACATTTTTCATAGCAGCCCCCCGTGGGAAACGAACCCGCAACCCTGGCGTTGCAAGCACCATGCTCTACCAACTGAGCTATGCGGGGCCCTACATTCAAATCAGCATTGAAAAAAGGCGCAAGTTTAAGTTTGTTCCGCCTGAGCGAGACCACTATGATGACACACCAAAAGCGTCCAATGCGTTTGATGGATCGCGGGGAAAAGAGCAGGAATAGGCTTTTGTAGGCTACAGTCCAAGCTATGTCTTTCAATAGTGTGACTGCTGTCAGCATCCAAAGATTATCCAATTTGAATAAACACTTGGAGGTAAGGACGTCAGCAGTGGTGTAGCCTATGGGCGATACGGATATCATTTATTATTGATTTATCTACATAGAACATTGATGTGAATCACACTGCTGCTCTCTCATTTAGCTATTTGCGCCTTACGGATTGTGGTTGTTGTGAATGGCTGTTCACAAATGTATTTCTGTATTTTAACCCAATAATGGTTGAATTGAAGAAATTTAAGCCGCCTATCAATCCTTGTTTTTGCAACCAGTGGACAGCCAGTGAAAAATGTGCTCTTGCAACAGCTGCATAGTGCGGATCATAGCCTATGGAATATAAGTTTGAGGGAGTTCCTCCCAACTCCTCCGTGGTATTGTGCTCCATACTAGTTTAATTTACAAAGACCACGAGTGGGGCTTTTATTGCACAATCTAATTCATGCTGATAAATAAAATAATCCATAGGCCTAATGGACGCGCACTTTTGATAGACTGCAAATTATCGAGATATCAAAGTGTCACCCATAGAGATGGTATTAAATCCTTAGATCCTGGGCGGCAGGTAGCTTAGCGGTTAGATTGTTGGGCCAGTAACCGAAAGGTTGCTAGTTTGAATACCCGAGCCGACAAGGTGAAAAATCTGTCGACGTGCCCTTGAGCAAGGCACTTAACCCTAATTTGCTTCAGGGATGCCATACTACTATGGCTGATGCTGTAAAACAACACATTTCACTGCAGCTATCCAGTGTGTGACAATTTAAAATGATTAAGTATTCTAATTCTATGGCGTCACCAACTAAAACGTAAACATTTTCACATGCAAATAGCACTTTTCGGTAGCGCTCAAAGCATGCCATTCCATGAGAGCAGCCTTTATTTTTCAACTCAAAGCAATGAGCCCAATCAGTCCTCCATGACAACAAAATCATAAACAGAGTAGGCTAATAAGTCCTTAGTTTTATGCTCAGGTAAAACAATTAGGCTAATCTATATTTCCATATTTCCAAGTCGTATTCTTGAAGATCAAGGGGTATTAAATGAATTGGAATGACTGGAAATCTGACAGACTTTTTAATGTAAAAATATAGCCTAATCGTATTATTATCTGTAGTAGAAAGCAATTGGTTAGAAGAAGCCTACATAACCATCCCAAAAAGTAAAATACAACATCCATTTATGGCCAGCTATGTAAACTCTAACATTGATTTATCCTACAATAATGTCGTTCAATTGGTAATATTCATTCAAACTTCTTCTAATACCTCTTTAGGGGAACGCCATTTAAAAGTAACTGAAAGTAATCAGATTACATTAGAGTTTGGGTAATTACATTACTGATTCCAATTTTGGTCAGGTAACTAGTTACTGTAACGGATTACATTTAGAAAGTAACCAACATAAACAGCTTAATTAGTAATAGGAAAAATAATCATTATTGGCGAAGAAGATTTAAGAAGGCATTTTATTGTCTGTTTTGACAGAAATGTCCTTTGCATCATAAAGACGGCTTGCATAACATAAACTACAACAACATACAGAAGATGTGGAGGTCAGGAGTTTGTACAAGTTTAACAGGGTGGTTAAATGTAATACTTCAATCAGATTTAGCCCTCTTCAACTGAAAACAATGGTTACAGTAGAGCCGATATCTGAAAAAACAATGCAGGTGGGGTGAGGGGAATGTTGTGTATGAGAATATACAGCAGTGTTATGCACATGGTGCATTGGTTAAATGTGCATAAACTTGTTCAGTGCATGATCAAAGAATGCATGTGTGTGATTGGTTATAACTGTCTTAATTGTTAGGTCCTCATTGGTTGTGGGCCTGGGATATATCCTCTGCTACCCTGAGAGTGGGCGCAGATGGAGAGATGTTAGCAAGCAGTTATGTCATCTCATCTGTGAAGCATCATATTTGAGATGCACTTCTGCATACTGTTGGGTTCCTTTCAAGAGTTTCTAAAGATCCCGCTCCCCCAACAGGGAACACCAAGGTAGGGTAAAACTGTGTAATTGTGTATATGGGCTCCTTGGGTACGCTGAGAAATAAAGGATCAAATCTCAACAGAATTCAACCCTGAGTCCATAGTAAACCTTAGAAAATACAGAACTCAGTGTCTACAGACAAGCAGTTGTTCTTGCTTGTTCTAGCAACACAGGACAGAAAGTTCAGTGTTTTCCAATTAATTGGTTCCAGACATATTCCAGATGAGGAAAGACATCACAAAAACACATACATTTTGCTATTGACTATCATAGTGATTATAGTATTAATTAGGATGTCATGTGGACTACTTTGTTTATTGTGTGCATTTCTATGCAGAGTGGTTCTGTGTATGTCTAAAGCGGTGTGCCATTGTGTGTGCTTCAGTTTCAGCAGAGGTGCCGCTTTGCCAGCACCTGAACCATGGGGGGCCTGTGGAGCTCTGACCCCCTGGCGGTGGACCCTACCTGGGGTGAAGGTGGTGGTGCTGACCCCTCCTAGTTCCCCCCCCCCCCTCCTTCTGCTGCCCTTCTGGCTGTCTGGAGCCTACCTCTCCAAGGAGAGAGGGGTACAGCACAGTGCTCTTGTCCTTCTATCTCCACCCCCCTCTCTCTCTATGACCTCTGTATGACTTCAAGTCTCTACAGCCTCTCCTGTCTACTGACAAAGTGCCTCGTCTACAGACATGTCTGTAACCCCCCTATTTCCTCCCACAGTTGTTCCATCTCATCATCCAACCCAACAAATGTCCTTTGCTTATTTCTGTAGACTCTTGAACTAAATCGACACAAGAAACAAACAATGGTGTATTCAATGTTCAAGTGATGTTTTGCTCCATCATGTTCAACCATGAATGGGGTGGACGGGACAAGAAAGGGTGAAGCTAAGCCATTTCTCTTCGCACTGTTGGAATCCGCTCCTCTCTCTCTCAATTACATTTACATTTTAGCAGACGCTCTTATCCAGAGCGACTTACAGTTAGTGAGTGCATACATTTTCATACTGGCCCCCCATGGGAATCGAACCCACAACCCTGGCGTTGCAAGCGCCATGCTCTACCAACTGAGCTACATGGGACTATTCAATTCAATGCAAAGGGCTCTTTCTCTCTCTGCTGGCTGTCATCTACTTGAACCAAAGACTCTAGCAATGTTCTGTTTTTGCTAGCAGCAGTCATTACTGCAGCATTGAGTAATGGCGGGGGAACAGTGAAGCGATCTGCTACCACAAGAGGCACCGGCACGGACAAGCAAACTCCTTACACAACCCTTTCCCATACCTTTATGAAAACACTTCATTTTGAAAGGCAAGAGGAAAGCCAGGGTATTCACAATGGCCCTTTGTCAGTGGGGAGCTGATGTGTTTATCTTACTGGTTCCACCGATGGTCTTTTGTGCCATGCTCATCTACTGTAGTGGTTCCACCGGTTCCACCATCACAGCTGCTGAGAGCCTATTCAATCAAGGATAATGAGCTCCTCTCCATTTTGTTTCTTGTCCTGTGGTTGCTGGGAGGGGGGAGCTTGAAGCTCAAGGAGGGGGGGCTTGAAGCACCAACTTACTCATGCAATTGTTCTATTTATTTAGTTTTAATCTGTGTCCTTTCAATTGATTCTTGTTTCTTTTATTGTTATTATTGGTGTTATTTTGTAATGTACAGGACATGTTTTTTTAATGTTTTTTTTTTTTAATGTTTTTTTTAAAAAAGTAGTGCGTTATTGCCTCTGAATAAAGAAAGATCCAATTCCATTATTATCAATCGACAAAAAGCACAATTCTCTGAATTTGCAGTTGCTCTGCAGATCCTGGTTTATATGTGGGAAATTTGAGGTCAACGTTCAACTATAAAATCGGTCGGATCTGCAGTCGTTCTCTCTGTGTAGGTTGTGACTCCCGTTGGCTTCATGTCTGCGAAGGTTTTCCTCCTAATCGAATGGCACAATAAACAGGGTTAAACATCTGCCAAGTGAGAGATAGACAAGGGTAGCAGAAAATGGGATAGGAGAGAAGAAAAGTCAGGATGCTAGCCACGCTACCATCACTGAAGTCTTTACAAATATTACTGGGCCAGATGGCCTACAGCCCAAGATTAAACAATAGATTTGTCTCCAAAAAGTAATCTACAAAATGGCTATAATCCAGGCTTGACTTTGTTTGGAGAGTAAAAGCCAACATCAGTGATGATGTCATAGGAAGGGTGACACCGCACAGCATAGAGCCTTCAGTAATATATATATAATGGGCAGTGGCTTCTTTCTGGACAGACGTCATGCTAACTATTCTTAGCATTTTGCATAAAAATCTAATGTCAAAGATGTTCACACTGGATTTAGCTAGCGGCTCAATGATGTCATCCTTTTGAACGACCCAGTTGTTTGGCTACACAGAGGCTGTGTAGTGTCATCTGCTGGTTGTGTAGAGCTTTTCTTGTACATAGTGTTCAGGCCTTTCAACTAGGGCTTGACTACATCATCCCTTGCTCATCCTAACACCAATGCAGTAACTTTCAGCAATACTGAAAGTATGATGTTTCAGTATTTCCCTTCAGATGATGTTTCAGTAAGTCAGTTCTAAGTGTTATAGGACACATATTTCGCTGCAGTTTGGTTGTTGATATAATGCTCATGCTATAAGTTGTTTGCTATAAGTGGTACAGTGGGGGAAAAAAGTATTTAGTCAGCCACCAATTGTGCAAGTTCTCCCACTTAAAAAGATGAGAGAGGCATGTAATTTTCATCATAGGTACACGTCAACTATGACAGACAAAATAAGAGAAAAAAAATCCAGAAAATCACATTGTAGGATTTTTAATGAATTTATTTGCAAATTATGGTGGAAAATAAGTATTTGGTCAATAACAAAAGTTTCTCAATACTTTGTTATATACCCTTTGTTGGCAATGACACAGGTCAAACATTTTCTGTAAGTCTTCACAAGGTTTTCACACACTGTTGCTGGTATTTTGGCCCATTCCTCCATGCAGATCTCCTCTAGAGCAGTGATGTTTTGGGGCTGTCGCCAGGCAACACGGACTTTCAACTCCCTCCAAAGATTTTCTATGGGGTTGAGATCTGGAGACTGGCTAGGCCACTCCAGGACCTTGAAATGCTTCTTACGAAGCCACTCCTTCGTTGCCCGGGCGGTGTGTTTGGGATCATTGTCATGCTGAAAGACCCAGCCACGTTTCATCTTCAATGCCCTTGCTGATGGAAGGAGGTTTTCACTCAAAATCTCACGATACATGGCCCCATTCATCCTTTCCTTTACACGGATCAGTCGTCCTGGTCCCTTTGCAGAAAAACAGCCCCAAAGCATGATGTTTCCACCCCCATGCTTCACAGTAGGTATGGTGTTCTTTGGATACAACTCAGCATTCTTTGTCCTCCAAACACGACGAGTTGAGTTTTTACCAAAAAGTTATATTTTGGTTTTATCTGACCATATGACATTCTCCCAATCCTCTTCTGGATCATCCAAATGCATTCTAGCAAACTTCAGACGGGCCTGGACATGTACTGGCTTAAGCAGGGGGACACGTCTGGCACTGCAGGATTTGAGTCCCTGGCGGCGTAGTGTGTTACTGATGGTAGGCTTTGTTACTTTGGTCCCAGCTCTCTGCAGGTCATTAACTAGGTCCCCCTGTGTGGTTCTGGGATTTTTGCTCACCGTTCTTGTGATCATTTTGACCCCACGGGGTGAGATCTTGCGTGGAGCCCCAGATCGAGGGAGATTATCAGTGGTCTTGTATGTCTTCCATTTCCTAATAATTGCTCCCACAGTTGATTTCTTCAAACCAAGCTGCTTCCCTATTGCAGATTCAGTCTTCCCAGCCTGGTGCAGGTCTACAATTTTGTTTCTGGTGTCCTTTGACAGCTCTTTGGTCTTGGCCATAGTGGAGTTTGGAGTGTGACTGTTTGAGGTTGTGGACAGGTGTCTTTTATACTGATAACAAGTTCAAACAGGTGCCATTAATACAGGTAATGAGTGGAGGACAGAGGAGCCTCTTAAAGAAGAAGTTACAGGTCTGTTAGAGCCAGAAATCTTGCTTGTTTGTAGGTGACCAAATACTTATTTTCCACCATAATTTGCAAATAAATTCATTAAAAATCCTACAATGTGATTTTCTGGAGAAATAAATTCTCAATTTGTCTGTCATAGTTGACGTGTACCTATGATGAAAATGACAGGCCTCTCTCATCTTTTTAAGTGGGAGAACTTGCACAATTGGTGGCTGACTAAATACTTTTTTCCCCCACTGTATGCTATACTGAAATGAACACTGGAAATGTTTGTGAAATTATCCCTCTCTATTGTTCAACTGTCTGCCGAACTTTCAATCTTGTCCAATTAATGAAAATTGACATTTTTGGTTTCTGTTTTCTTAGGCCTAGATTCAATCAGATCAAGCGTTAACAGGTGATAGCCGACACCCGCATAGCTGATGTTTTGGCGGTGTCGGCAAGTGGAACTGCATTGGAGCTGTCAAATCGGTGAGCAGCTGCTCTTGTGGTCATTGTCACAAAGCCACACCTGTCCCACTCGCGTTAGTTCAGAAGGAGAAAGTTTAGCCTATAAATAAATAATGACGCTCAAATTGAAAATCATTAAACAAAATAATGAGGATTTCTTTCAGCCTAATCGATGGTGTAGATTACACCTTACATTCCAGTGTTCCAACTTGTAAACAAGGCTGCATGGGATTTCTCTTAATGCGACTCCATTCAGCCAATGGCAATGTCTGCTTTAGGTATAATGCTACGAGCCGCTTATGCATTTGACAGCTCTAATGCCGTTCCACCTCCAGCACCGCCAAAATTACCGCTATGTGGATGTCGGCTAAAGCGGATCTGATTGAGTAGAGCCCTTAATTATGTTGCACTGTTGTTGATGATGATTTGTATTGTATTTCACTTTGCCTCTATGGGTCAGAACTTTGTATGATGTGATGAAACATTGAGGGGTGAATCCTACTTTACTTAAAGATGAATTTTCACTTAGTTATGCATAGATGTCAGTGGGAGACTAAGTGAAAATTTGACTGAAGTGGAAATTAGTATTCGCTCCTAACACTTCAATACTTGAAATTCTATTGAAAACTGCTAAATCCTTTAGCTGCAGGCTTGTGATCTGTGACTGTCAGGATGTCCATTGGCTGTTTTAAACGAGTACAGTATGTTGACAGTCTGCTAGAAGTATGACATCAGTGTTGTAAGTTTTATTTTAATTTACTGAGGTGTTTCAAATTTCCTATTGATGCATTTTGTATGTATAAGATTATTTGTATAATTATTGTTATTATTCTTTTTGTTTCTATTTGGTGTTTATTACACCATTGATAATAGCATAATGATAATGAATTGTCAGCTAAGCAGGTGTTCTTGAAAGTATACAGAAATTATAGTTATTTTATTTCTGCTCCTTAATTTACTTGAATATGATGTTGACATAGTTGGTTGCAATATGCCTGATTTGAGTAGTGGTGTACTGACTGTTCGTGTATTCAGATGAAGACTGTTTTCCCCTCTTGCACTGGCTCAGCCCAAACGCCTTCTGTCCAGGCTTATAGCGCTGATGCAATGAGAATGTCAGAAATGACAACAAAATGATTAAATATTTAATAGTTTAATAAAAATCTATGAAGGAAATATCCAATATTTCATAAGCTCTCTACTCATTCCTGCCTCTGTGTAATGCTAGTTTGTTATGTCAAGTGCCTTCTTGTATGCTGATTTAATGTGACTTTCTGTCGCTGATGTCCATGGACAGATAGCCCAGCCTTTCCTTTTAAGCAGGGAAATGTGGACTGATTTTCTTCTGCAAGACATTGGTTATTTATTAGGTAAAAGCAAAACGCAAAAAAACATATTTTACATAATTGTTCAAGTTTTATTAGTCGTATGTACAGGATACACATGGTATACACAATCCAATGAAATGCTTACTTGCAACAACAATAACAAATAATACAAGATAAGAATACGAACATAAAGAAAATGGCTCAGTAGAGTAGACCAGTGGTTCCCAAACTTTTTCACTTACTGTACCGCCAACTGAATTTTGCTCTGCCCAGAGTACCCCTGAAGTACACCCTCGTGCATTTTACCAGTCGGCCTATGGTCTCATAAATCTTCTCAAGTACCCCAGTGGATAGGCCAAGAACCCCCAGGGGTCCTAGTACCTCTGTTTGGAAACCACTGGAATAGAGTAAACATTTTAGCATATGTATAATACAGGAAGGCACAATATATAGTACAATATTTTCACATGTATCAGGGAAGGGGGGGATTGGGGGGCAAGTGTGTAAATTGTGCAGTATTAGCAATAGTACATAAGAGTCTGGCAGCAGCAGTTGTGATGTCTATGTAGCATTAATTTATTGGTGTGGGTGTGTCTGAGTGCATGTATGTTAAGGTGCGGGGAGTCAGTGCAGGTGGTCAGTCCAGTTCAAGCATTCAGTAGTCTGATGGCTTGTAGATAGAAACTGTCTCTGAGCCTGTTGGTATCAGACTCATGGTCCGAAACCGTCTGACCGACAGTAAGGGAGAACAGCTCATGGCTGGGGTGTGTGGGGTCCTTGATGATGCTGCGGGACTTCCCCTGTTTCAAGTAGATGTCCTGGATGGGTGGGAACACGGCCCCAGTGATGTCCTGGATGGGTGGGAACACGGCCCCAGTGATGTCCTGGATTGGTGGGAACACGGCCCCAGTGATGTACTGGGCCGTCTTCACCACCCACTGGAGAGTCTTGCGGTCGTGGACGGAGAAATTCCCGTACAAGGCCGTGATACAACTGGTCAGGACGCTCTCAATGGTGAGGCGGTAGTATTTGGAGAGGACCCGTGGTGGCATGCCACATTTCTTCAGTCGCCTTAGGAAGTAGAGGCGCTGTTGTGCACTCTTGACAAGAGTGTTGGTGTTGTTGGTCCATGTCAGGTCATCGGTGATAACAAAACATTCTGCCATAAAAAAGTCAGTACAAAATGAGGATATTAAGTGCCAAATAAAGTAACAGTGTTGACCATAACAGGGTTGACGATTTCATATTAAATCAGCCATAAATCCCCTTCTGAAAGGAGGAATGGGAGGAAGCGTGTTGTGTGCAACAGGGAGGGGCAATTTAATGCAATCTTCACACATTTTTATTTATTGTTAAAACAATTCTAGCCTGTCTATCTATGGGTAACAGGGTTGGTGCGTTATGCTCAACCTGCTCAGTTTCCCACCACAAAACACCAGAAAATTGCAAAAAACGTAGAACCAACTCACCTGCTTTAACACTAGGATTTTAGTATTAGATATTCAATGTTTCTTTCGAAAAAATATTTCAAAAGGAATAGTTTCACCATATTAAAACGAGAGTTCAGTTCACGTAAGAGGGTTGACCTTAAAATTATGGACAGGTTTTGTTTAACCTTAAAATGTTTCACTAATCACATGAAATACTGTAAATAATAATCTCCAGAAATTACTTTGTCAAAGCAACAAAATAACTAAGGCTTTACAATGATGGTGAAAACTAGGGACAATTTTGGGGTTACAGAGGGTGCACAAAGGGACATGCTAAAATGCTGAATTTTGCCACTTTAGCAAGTCTTTCTTAATATTAAAATATTCAATATTGGTGCACAATTTCTACTTAAAATATCAAAGGGATGTAAAAGTCACTCATTTCGTGGAACGACCCAACACCTGTGACCTTGCATCACAAAGACTCCCCCAGACTTCACCTTTGTCTCTTATACACACCTACCCAGTAATTTCACACAAATACAGGAAATGTCACTCCTTACTGTTAACACCACTCCTTACTGTAATTCAATTTAATTGAAGCAGTTTGCAACACCTTGTTGTTAGTAATAATCGTTGTGTATTTGGAAAATGTGCCCAGATAAGATCCTAACAGGAAGTCGGAAACGGCCAGTAATCATTAGTTCCTACCACGGCCACCCATCCATGTCTACGTGATTTTGGTCAAAGCTTTTCATAAACAAAGCTACAGAATATTTTTCATCAAGAAAAACCTGGACCATGCCTGTGTTGTTTTTCATTTATTGTCATTTTGTAAACAAAATATATATCAATGTAGTACAATCAACTATACATGTATATACACTTACAATTTCAGCTTTATGTTTTGGCATACCATTTTTTCTAATCAGTCATAAGACAGCTAAACTTGCACATTGTTCTCAAAAACTGAACATTTTGAGTAGAGGTTGCACTGTGGCCATCAGATCTGATACTGCAGATATGAATAGATTTCACCCAGATTGTCTGTCTGAATATTTCAACATATTTCATTCACATATTTGATTTCTACAGCAAAATAACATCTTTATAAATATTTTTTTTAAATAAACATCTGTTAATCAAAGTGCAAGTGGAATTCACGTATGAATTTGTAACTTCCTTGTCAGAATAATGACGCTGAGCACGCCATTATCAATTGTTAAAACAATTGGATGGAGTATGCAGAGTTTCTCACAGGTGGGTTCTATATTCATTCTTCCTTGATTCAGTTGTGGGCCTTAACTACATGGCCATCTTTCCCCCTTCTTATCTGTGGTATTTTAGCCCTCTCATGACTGAGGGAATGCATTTCTGTGTGGACTGGGGGGCTGTGGCTGGATGCCCTTCAGTGGAGCTGAAGGAGAAGGTGGCAGAGAGGGGATACATATATCAACCTCTTACTAGAGCTCATTCTGGGGATCTGTGTGCTTGTGAACCAGGCACACAGATCCCCAGTTGGTGGCGGAGAGGGAACCTGGCATACTACATACAAGTATTTATTTAAAGGCTCATTTTGTGGAACTGGTCAATGGGGTAGCTGTGGTGGTGATGGAACCTTGTATTGAGCCCACAGAGCGCGGCATGCAGTGCATGTTGCCCGTGGTGACGATGCACTGCAGGGGCCACAGCACGATGACCACTAGCAGCACCATCAGCACGATGAAGAGCAGCAGCCGCTTCCAGCTGGTCAGACGCCTCATAACGCCCATGTTGTGGGGGCGTGTCTGAGCTGGGACCTCGCCTGCTTTGCTGGCCCCTATGTCGATGCAGATGCAGAAGGCCGAGGTGGAGCTAGAGGCCCCGGGGCTGGCCTCCAGGTCCCGCTTGTAGCACAGCTTCTCTCCGTCCAGCCACACAGGCTCCTCGTGCTGCTGGTGGCTGGGCAGCTTACACAGTACCTCGCTGCTGGTGGCCAGGGCCGGGGGACCCTCCTTGGTTAGGAGGGTAGGGTGGCGGCAGAAGGGACACAGGATCTTGCTGCTGCCTCCTCCTTCCTGCTCTCCCAGTGAAATAGCCATGAGGCGTGACAGACACTCGAGGCAGAAGGTGTGGGTGCAGTCCAGCAGCTTGGGCGTCTTGAAAACGTTGTCGTAGGTGTTGTAGCAGATAGAGCACTCGGGTTGGTTGCCAACAGCCACCATTATATCCAGATCCACTTTCTCTTCCTGGGTGTGCCACACTTGAGGGATCTGCGCCATTTTGAAGGGATGTTCTGTATCCTTTTCTCCCTTCCTTTGGTCTTTGTCCCCCTTTCTCTTCTTTGTCCTTGGTGTGGATTATCTGAGAATGAATGGAAATACAGATTATCTTTCAATAACGTGTTCAGATGATGTGTGAAATCTATTTTAAAAATCATGCAGTGTGGACATAATCCCAAACTGTTAACAGGATTTTTGTGTCTGTATTTCATTCAAGCGCATATTATAAAATACAGTAGGTTAAATGTCTCCATGCAGGCAGAGTTGCAATACCATTATGTTATTCCCTTCAGAATACGATTACATTCTGACCTATTCTAAAGAGATTACACAGTAGTCACAAATAATTCAGCATTTGGTGGAATTTAATTGTCTATAAATTAAATGTATATATTTTTTTGTATATTTTTTACTTTTCATATCAGACCATGCCAGCTCTAATTAATTTCTTGCTTACTCTCTACTTTATACAGTATGGGGCTGATTGACATCCATTCACTTTAATGTGTTAGTTCACTACCAACTAAACCCACTGAAGTCTGGGCCACGTTCATCAGGGAAACATTGTGACACGTTGCAGATAAAAATGTCATTAATAGAACTGACACGATTCGTCATTCTAAATGTCAAAGGCGTTTTTGTTCTACATAATATATTTATATATTTTATTTCACTTTTGTTTAACCAGGAAAGACCCTTGAATTAAGATACCTATTTTACAAGGAGCGACCTGGAAACCTATATCTGATAATTTTTTTCTTCAGGGTAGCCCAATTGAGACCAGGGTCTGATTCCCAATGGTACCCTGAGTACAACAATTGTCTCACAACAGGAAGAACAATTTACATTACAATTAAAACAAGAAGAATAAAAATAACCACAACCTCAACACCACAATTTCAACAAATAAAGCCCTACAATCAATCGAAACAACTGCAATCCTCAATTATTTCATTCAACACCAGAGTCCTAAACTAACATAGCCTGATCAACAGTTGGGGTGTCACGGATTCAGCCGAGGCTGCTCTTCCTCCTTGCTCAGGCAGGCTTCGGCGTTCGTCGTCGCCGGAGTACTAGCTGCTACCGATCTATGTTTCTGTGTTCTACTTGTTTTGTCTTTATTGTACACACCTGGTTCCCATCATGTATTGATTTCTTCCCTATTTAACCCTCTGGCTCTCACTGTGTTTTGTGCGTGTTTTTTCATGTTTGGTTGTCGTCTGGTGAGTGGGTTTGTTCCTCCCTGCGTGGAGGTTATGTTATTTACGTTACCTACGAGTAAAGTACGTTTTCGATTAGCTCTGTGTCCTGCGCCTGACTTTGTCCTACCGCATCACACTGACCCCCTGACATGGGGCAGTGGCACACATAACAGTGTCATCTGCATACATATTAATATTACAAGTTTGAACAGATAGACCAATATTATTTATATAAATAGTAAAGAGAACAGGTCCCAGTACTGATCCTTGCGGTACAGCTTTTGTAATATCCAAGACACTAGACTTTACACCATCAGAGATCACACATTGAGTCCTGGGGGGTGGGGGGGTCTATCGCAGGGGGGGCATTTGAACGTTAAAAAAACATGACTGGATTACTGATGACTAGAAGCAGTCAGAATAGCTGTAACTACGTATGCCTGACAAATGACAAACTGTCTGGTATTGGTTCGAGTGTGATTGACACCTGTGTTCCTTTAATGCAGGATAGGTAGGTAGCTAGTAGGTACAGGACAGGTGAGAGCTGTGATGAGGGGGAAGGGTGGGATGTGGGGGGTGGTTGAGTTGCAGGTGTTCCTCTCGCCGTGCCATGCGGGAGCAGCCCTACCCCTATCTCTCTCTGTCCGGCCCCAGCTCTGCCAGCCGGCTGACACAATGTGCCTGCTTGTTCCCCCTCTCCTCTCATCACTCCATCTACCCTTGGCATTCCTGCAGGGCCAGCCTCTGCCCAGGCCTCCTCTCGCTCCCTCTCTCGCTCTCTTTCTCACCACCATGTCAGAGACAGTAACAATTGAAGTCCCTCAAAAATAAGTATTGGTGGACCCCCCATCCTCCTCCGCAAACTACAATGTAGCAACTGCTCTTACATTGGAAAATATGGACAACAATCACTAAGTGGACCTAGTGAGAATATCTCCAGCTTGTTTGTGGCCTATGGATTTAATTATAACCTTCACTTTAATGGAGCTGATATCAACTGCTTTCTTGTCAATTAAACTTGTTTAAACCACTTTTAACTGCGTCCTACCATGATCCCCAATCCACTGTTTGCACTTCAGGTAGAAGTTAACCCTGAAACACAGATCTAGGATCAGTTTACCATCCCTAACTCTTAACTGGAACAATCTGGTTTATTTAACAGTCAACAAACCACAACACTGACTACAGATCAGGTGCTTAGGGGCACATTTTAGTGTGTGGGACAAATGACAGTTAGTCATTAACCTAATCTCTCTCAGGCAAATCTGACCTTATTATCTACCACAGGAGCATGAGGCAGGAGAGCCTTTGTTTTGCCTTGCACACTAGTGCTGCCTACTATCTATATGACCCGCTTTGGCTATCAGCGGCACGTTTTCTCCCTATCGCCAGCTTAGCCGACTGACCTGGTTTTGTGACTGCCTGCAAATCTATACATGCTGCTTGAGCTGAGATATTTTGAGATTTGTGTTGTGTTTCAGATGTACAAAGCGGAATCTTAGCTTGTTTGAAGTCTTTGGTAACATTGTATAATAACTTTCATGAATATCCCATTATACAGTGCCTTCAGAAAGTATTCACACCCCTTGACTTTTTCCAGATTTTGTTGTGTTACAAATTGGGATCATTCAGTGTCGCCTTGGTAACCAACTCCATTGTATATTTGTTTTAGGTTATTGTCCTGCTGAAATGTGAATTTGTCTCCCTGTATCTGTTGGAAAGCAGACTGAACCAGGTTTTCCTCTAGGATTTTACCTGTGCTTAGCTCTATTCCGTTTCTTTTTATCCTTGCCGATGACGAGCATATCCATAACATAATGCAGCCACCACCATGCTTGACATTATGAAGAGTGGTACTCAGTGATGTGTTGTGTTGGATTTGCCACAAACATAATGCTTTGTATTCAGGACAAAAAGTAACATTTCTTAGCCAGTTTTTTTGGCTGTATTACTTTAGTGCCTTATTGCAAACAGGATGCATGTTGTGGAATATTTTTATTCTGTACAGACTTCCTTCTTTTCACTCTGTCATTTAGGTTAGTATTGTGGAGCAAGTACAATGTTGTTGATCTATCCTCAGTTTTCTCCTATCACAGCCATTAAACTCTGTAACTGTTTTAAAATTGGCCTCATGGTGAAATCCCTGGGCGGTTTCCTTCCTCTCCGGCAACTGAGTTAGGACTCAGCTGGGTGTATTAATACACCATGCAAAGCGTAATTAATAGCTTCACCATGCTCAAAGGGATATTCAGTCTGCTTTTTTTATTTATTACCCATCTACCAATAGGTGTGCTTCTTTGCGAGGCATTGGAAAACCTCCCTGGTCTTTGTGGTTGAATCTGTGCTTGAAAATCACTACTCGACTGAGGGACCTTACAGATAATTGTATGTGTGGGGTACAGAGATGAGGTAATCATTCAAAAATCATGTTAAACACTATTATTGCACACATAGTGAGTCCTTGCAACTTATTATGTGTCTTGTTAAGCACATGTTTACTCCTGAACTTATTTAGTTGTAGCCTATAAATGTGTTCTTCAGCTTTGTTTATTGTGAGGTCATCTGTTGTAGCCTATAGACAGTTAAACTGCCTTTCTTCCATTGCTGCTCTACCTGTTCTCCAATTGTAAAGTAAACGTAACTTGATCCTCAGAAACGTGAGGTGTGCAACAGCATACAGTTCTCCTTAATACTTGCACTGTCTAATATGAAGTTAATTGACCCACGTGAAAAAAATACATATCATACATTTACATTTTAGTCATTTAGCAGACGCTCTTATCCAGAGCGACTTACATTTAGTGAGTGCATACATTTTTCATACTGGCCCCCCGTGGGAAACGGACCCACAACCTTTATACAACTCTTACAGTGTGTATATCCTGTTTTATCATGTTTTATCCTGTATTTACCAGTTGTGACAAGCTCACATGTATTTATTTCATGTTACCACTTCCCAGTATTGGTGTTAAAATATAACCCATAACATTGTTTGCACTGTACTCAACAACAGTTATACAATTCCTGATAAAGTTTGCCCTTACCTGTTTAGTGATGACTTTGCCAGATTATCCTCCAACTCTTTTTCTTTGTAGTGTATTACAGTGTATTTGGTCCAGCCTTCGGGGGTGGGGGGTGTGTGTGGGGGTGGGTGGGGTACCACGGACGAGGTGTGAGCTGTGGGGATCACTATACAGTGCTCCCTGGTCCTTGGGTTCTACACTATATAGGCTAAAGGAGAAGAAGTCAAGCTGCTGCAAGTGTGCTCACAAAGCCTTCAAAGTAGCATGAGGATTAGCGTTAGTATTAGCCTGGAGGTCCTTCTCTCACTGTGTCCGTTGGTCGACTCTCACCTTCCCTGCTCTGCCAACTCCCTTTTCAACTCTCTATGTAAATGACAAATGACATTGATATACAGGGAACAATAAGGTGGCCTTGAGGGAGTGTCAGAGAAGGAGGGGGAGGGGGGAGGGGGGAGGGGGGAGGGGGGGGGGGGGGAGGGGATAGGGATAGGCTAAGGAGCCTCCATCAGGAGTGAAACTCACATTCTTGTCTCTCTACCCTTTCATTACTTCCTCTCTCTCTCTCTTTCTCGCTCCCTCTCTCTCTCTCTCCCTCTCTCTCTCTCTCTCTCTCTCTCACTCTCTCACTCTCTCTCTCTCTCTCTCTCTCTCTCTAGCTCTCTCTCTATAGCTCTCTCTCTCTCCCTATCTCCCACCAACACAAACACACAGAAACTCTCAAATCAAATAAGATGTTGCTACTGCTCTTAGACCCTGCGATAGACAAGCATCCTGT